AATAGGTGTTTAGTTTCATAGTTGGTTCTTTAAAGAGCTTGGCTGGTAACCAAAAGTTTGGCAGCTTGAACCCAGCAGAAGCTCCACAGGAATAAGATTTGGCAATCTGCTTCCATAAAGATTTACAACTTTGAAAACTTTATGGGGTAGTTCTCCTCTGTTCTATATGGTTGCTATGAGTCTGAATCAACTCAATGGCAATGGATTTTCTTTTAGTCCTAAGAAGTGGACTATGTTATCTAATACTAACCTTGTAGCTTCTTCTGTCTTTGGATCCCCTTCTGTAAGCAAGTACTTACAGAACCACTTGGGTCAGTCTCATTGCAAGAGCACAGGGGACTTACTAACCCAACAACGGCACAATGGAACCACCTAGATAAAAACTCATTTGAATACTCATTTGAATAGAAAGATCAAGATAATACCCTAGTCTAGTTTTTTGTTTTTTTTTTTCTTTTAAATCACAGAGAAAATGATACTGAAACCTCAAAGCAAGAAATACCTTCCTTGGCCAGTTGGGAACTTGAGTAAGGAGAGCTTGTTAGGCTAAGAAATAGAGTACTGTCATTTCTCAGTATGTAGTATATGTAGTTTCTACAAGTTACCTGAGAACACCATATATACCTTATTTGATAAAGTATGAAAAAATAAATAAAGGAGGAAAGAGAAGGGCTGGGAAAAGAGTAAGGATGAAGAAAAGAGTTGTAAATTGAATTGACTGGAAGAAGGAGCAAGGAAACAGCAAACAAAAACAACTTTTATGTGTTGCTAGAGAAGGCATTCTATTTTTCACGGGTCATTGCTGAAAAACAATGTCTTTTTCTTCCTTGTTTTTTGGAAGCTACAACACTCAAGATTACATGTTCACATGTGATTGAATAAAATAATGGACAACCAATGTCATATAATACAAAACTCCTACTCCCTTGATATTTTCTTCTAATTTTAGAAAAGACGTGGTGGGGAATATCTATAACAATTTTGTAAAATCAGGAGCTTGACTTACCCTTTTTCTTGTTTTTAACTGGACCTATTAAAAAACAGAAAATAGAAAATTAAGTTTCTGGAAATTCATAGAAAATCTATATATTTTTTTTAACACATTCAATGGGAAGGAGCCCTAAGATACTGTAAATTTGAAGAAGCCCAACAGCCAAGGGTCAGGCTTTTGGCAAAGTATCTCCCAACTATCAAATCTCCACAGTCCGTTTTCTAACTGTTGAGACCAAGAGAGTCACAGGGATGATTCTTCCCCGGGAAGAAAAATCTTTCAGCATCAGTCTTCGGAGAGAAGGAGAGGGTACTTCTCTACAGCGATAAAATGCTCCAAAATGCAGAACTCGACAATAGGGGGGCATTCCATTAATTCTACAAGTCCTGAGATTGAAGAGTCATGCATTCAGGCTGGTATTAAGTCTGAAGTGTTGAAGATAGAAGGAAAAAGGGGTTGTTTTCATGGAAGGAGCAGAGCAGGGAAGCTTATTTTTAGTCATTTCCTTATCATGATTTAATTTGTTATTAAAACAGTACAATAATAATACAATTCATGTGGAAGCCACATGCATTTCCATTGTAATTTAGCATAAGTTAATGGACACTTAAGAAGTGTCAACAGTTCCTTCAACAGTGATAACACAAGCATTTTCTTGGGAATTACTTCTAAAGAAAACAATTCTTATCAATTGAGGACACTCAGAAAACTCAAAGCTTTTCTAATGTTAGGTGTCAATCACTCCCCAGATATTCACAGTTTAGATCTCTCCAAGACTGTTAATTCCCCCTTCCCACTCAATACTCTTTTGTTTGTTTAAAATTTTTATCGTGATTTGGGTGAAAGTTTACAGAGCAAATCCACTTTTCATACAGCAGCTCTCACGACATTGACTGTAATTTCCCACAATGCAACAGCTCTCCTCCCACTTCCTCCCCATAGTCACCTCTTCCCTGTGTCCTTCCCTCCATGCACTCCTGCCTGTGATGGTTATGTTTGTATGTCAACTTGGCTAGGCCTGGTTGAGAGGCTGGGCAGCTGGTGGTAGTTATTCCCCATGATGAGACTGGCAATCAACTCCATGGT